GATTACCGGATCTCTAGTGTTTGTACGTTTTCCTATGGGGCCATATGAAAAGCCTAACCTCCGAGTCCGCCATTGAAACCAATATGGATCTAGCGGCATGAAAAGACTGTGATTAGGCTTCGAAACTGTGATTAGACTTCGAGTCCGCCATTGAAACCAATATGGATCTAGCGGCTTGAAAAGACTGTGATTAGGCTTCGTGTGATTAGGCTTCGAGACTGTGATTAGACTTCGAGTCTCCATTTGAAACAATATGGATGTAGCGGCATGAAAAGACTGTGATTAGGCTTCGTGTGATTAGGCTTCGAGACTGTGATTAGACTTCGAGTCCGCCATTGAAACCAATATGGATCTAGCGGCATGAAAAGACTGTGATTAGGCTTCGTGTGATTAGGCTTCGAGACTGTGATTAGACTTCGAGCCCGCCATTGAAACCAATATGGATCTAGCGGCATGAAAAGCTTAGTCTTTGAGTCTGCCATTGAAACCAATATGGATTTAGCGGCATGAAAAGACTAATCTCCGAGTCCGCCATTGAAACCAATATGAATCTAGCGGCATGAAAAGACTAATCTCCGAGTCCGCCATTGAAACCAATATGGATCTAACGGCATGAAAAGACTAATCTCCGAGTTCGCGATTGAAACCAATATGGATCTAGCGGCATGAAAAGACTAATCTCCGAGTCCGCCATTGAAACCAATATGGATCTAGCGGCCTGAAAGGACTAATATTCGAGTCCGCCATTGAAACCAATATGGATCTAGCGGCATGAAAAGACTGTGATTAGGCTTCGTGTGACTAGGCTTCGAGACTGTGATTAGACTTCGAGTCCGCCATTGAAACCAATATGGATCTAGCGGCATGAAAAGACTGTGATTAGGCTTCGAGACTGTGATTACACTTCGAATCCGCCATTGAAACCAATATGGATCTAGCGGCATGAAAAGACTAATCTCCGAGTCCGCCATTGAAACTAATATGGATCTAGCGGCATGAAAAGCCTAATCTTCGAGTCCGCCAAGTCTCAATGCAGAGCAAATTGCTTTTTCCTCCGAGCGTTACCGGTTTAGCCGTGAAATTCCAAAGTTTCTCAAAATGTCATGAATAAGTGGTATTTTCTTTATATTAATTAAAAAATGACTCTCTCATTTTATATCTTGATTCCTTTTCTTCCAATATACAACGAAACCGAAATCAGATACATTAAAAGCTAGCAGAAATTTTTATATGTAATGAATATAGAAGGCAGCCTTCTATACGGAATTTTTTGGCCGTAACGATGAGAGAGCTTTAAAATAAATAAAATATCCCAATTCTTGCAACAGTCACATATTCGAAGATCATAATGGATTTAAGATGTATGAGCCCCCTTAAGGAAAAACTTATATATGATTTTTTACTTCTTTGTACGAAGTAAAAAGGGAGTATTGTAATCGCGAAAAGTTTCAGGCAACATATTTCAACGAAAATATCCATTTTGACCGCTATCAAATGCAATTTAACGATGTTTTTGCGTGATATCTGTACGTACGTATCTCGCATAACTCAAAAAACGAGTAGCCTCAGAACGTTGAAATTTTGCTGCTATAACTGCTATAACATGTAGCTGGACTGCTATAACATGTAGATGTGCACCTCGTATTTTGGTTGCAATCGGCCGCACCAAACGTATATAATATTATTATATATATAATCCACTCTGTTACCCGGCTCAGTGATCTCAGTTTCTTGACTCTTATATGTTTTGAAATTGTACATTTTTTTTGCTTTAAATATGATTGAATTATGTTGTTTTTATCTTCCGGTTAAGGTTTTTATGACTTTCGTAATTCTGGAGCACAATTTTAACAATTATCAACAATTTAAAAGCTGTTTTAAGTGCGGTTAAGTTTTAAATAACATGGCGGACATATCGTTACATTTGAAACAGCAGAATTGTAAATTTGTTGCCAATCTAGAAGACTAAGCTTCGCAACACAAAAATAACGCCTTCATATATTATGCGAATTAAATCATGCTAATCCTTTCTGGAATTTTTCGATGATATAATGTTTAAGATTTACTCGTAATTTTAATGCAGATATTTTGAGTTTTATGTATTTTTGCCTTGTCGCGAAGTGAGAACTGAATAATTGAATGAGAAATACTAAATCGTCTGTGAAAAACTCTTTTTCTGTTTTGTTTTCTTAATTTCTCTTTCAACATCGTTTTAAGCTTATTATAGTATTTGAATAGAACATGTGGCAACAATAATTCTTCAAATGATATACATTTGCGCATTCAGAGGTCGTTAGTAAACAAATATAGTGATTTTAAAAGAGTGCATTTATTCTATTGTGGTTTATGCGCTTTCGGCGAAGTAGCTTTAATTCAATCCAATCAATTTAAATGAAATTCAAGAAAAAAAAATGCGTATAATTTAATATTCCGTACAAGGAAGTCATGTGGTGTACACATGAGATTTTTTTTTTTTTTAATTTACGCCTTCATAATACTTCCTCCTGCTTCTGAGCCATTTATCAAGATAATGTACAAAATTCTCCATCGTGTTGTGAGGAGAAATTGTATGTTTTTATGCGTATTTGCAGCAGTTACAATGCTTTTGCCTACATAACACTGCTCTTCGTCTTATCAATACTTATTGATTCTAGAAGAATAAAATCGGTTCTCTTATATATAATTCAAGTGTAACTATTCATAACACACTAAATTGAACTTCTGAACTTCCGATTAGAAGTCCATCAGTCTGATGGAGAAAGCATTTCATATATGGAAGTGCTAGACATTTTCTCTCGTGCGTAACGTACGGCTAGCGCTTAACGAATGATGTGTGCCGGCTTTACTCGTGCACAAATGGTAGTAATAGAATCGGCTTGATTGGCTGCGGGGAAGCGACAGATAAAAGAATTTTTATTTTCTTTTCTTTTTGCATTAGTCACGAATTCTTTTAATAATATCTGACTTACTATTAAGGGTAGGAAATACCAAAAAAAAAAAATGTGATGAGGTTTTTCTTAGTTGTTCCCCGGAGGCAGCTTATTGGTAATTACGAATTGTATATATTACCTGCCGCCAACATATTAAAGAACAGAAAAGCGTCAAGCGTGATAAAATGGTGTACTGTGACCACATTTATTCCGTCTTCTGTCATTGTTGGTATATTGATCTATGTTTCATTGTATTTGTTCGAGAGAAACACAGAATTTTTCTTACTTCTTCATTGATTTCTATTTCTTGTACGAAAGATATGGATGGAGGGGGGGAAACTTGCTTTGTTATTGGCTGTTTAATACATGAAGTAGCTGTTGTGATTTCTGTATTAGTTTCCTGAAAACTTTTATTAATGTATTACTTCATATGTATTTTTTCTTACACATCATTAACTGTTACGTTTTGAACTGAAATATGTGTTATGCTGAAATGAGGAAAACATTATAAAGTCATAAGGATTCGTTTAGTTTTACTAGCCAGTTATTTTGCTGTATTTCTCGCTTCCCATTTTCTAATTAATGCAACGTTATTTAAAGGAAGGTTTTAAAGGTAGAATGAGAGCGTGTTCCGCCTGCTGAAGGCCGCGCTTATGTTAAATTATGTTCCGGTTGCGGATGTTAATATTGATAAGTTTGTAGAACCATCGGAAAGCATTAGAATTCCTTGGAACGTTTCGCAATTTTAACATTTCTGATGTTAAAATTATAGAATAGAAGCTTTAGAAAAGGAACTATTAAGGGGACTCATACACCTTAAACCTCCTCATGATCTTCGAATATGGGACTGTTGCAGGAACTGAGATATTTTATTTATTTTAAAAGCAATTACTTCCAACTTTTTACAGCTGACTACATAATATAGCTGCTTTGGAAACTAGTAACCAGAAAGTTTGTGTTGCCACAAATATTTTGTAATTTAATCCTCTTTGTGACGAAATATTTCGCCATGTTTCCATCTGCGGCATGATATTTTAAAAATGGCTAATGTACATACTTGAAATGGATGGAATTCTTTATATGGGTACTATGTTCTAACGGAACCAACAATCTGATCAATATTTTAGTATGAAAAATTTTATGGACTGAAAAATTACAAATTTTTTAATAAAATACATTTTATAACTCAACTCCAAATAAAATAAAATTAACATGAATTCTCCGAATTTTTGGTTCACAGTAGTTTTAAATGTTTTAAAAGCTTATATTAAATATGGAATAAATTATAAACATAATGTTTTAAACTGTGCGCGCAATTTGGAAACATGACGAAAAATGTTGCCACAAAGCGCATTAAATTATAAAAATATTTGTGGCAACACAAACTTTCTGATTACTATTTCAGTATTATGTAGTCAGCTGTAAAAAGTTGGTAGTAATTGCTTTTAAAATAAATAAGTTATCCCAATTCTTGCGACAGTCACCTATTCGAACATCTTATGGGTTTTAAGGTGTATGAGTCCCCTTAACTAATGGTCCGTGAAGGTATGCTAAGAGTACCAAGTAGACTTATCACAATGGTCTGCAGTCTACATTAGATATTATTTTATATCGTATTATCTATTTTGGGTAAAAGTTTACAATTGGGTGCCCTTTTAAGAAGTCAAAGAATTGCCAGACTCGATGTCCACGTACACATCAATCTATTTTCACTTGAAAAAAAAATCAGAGAATTGCACAAACTCGGCACTGCGTACTACCCTGATTTTGTTCATGTTCAACATCGGTCTGTTTTCATTTAAAAAAAAAAAAAAAAAATCAGGATAATGATGACGTCATATAAGTTTAAAACAAAGTTATCGTAACCCGAAGGTGACGGCAATAGAAGCTAAAACCATGTTAAAACTATCATGGTAACCAGAAATAATGGGGTTTCATCGCTAAAATTGAACAAAAATGTTTCGGCAATCGGAGGGGCATCCAATTCTACACTAGAGCCCTATTTTGTAATTAAGTATTTACTTTTCAATTACGTGTGCATCCTCAATGTGTATTCTTTTCTGTGTTTCAGAGTTCAAAGAGGCTTTCGGTCTGTTTGACCACAACGGAGACGGTTCCATAGAGGCTGCTGAACTGGGAGTGGTCATGCGGTCCCTGGGACAGAGGCCTACAGAAGCCGAGCTGGTCAATATGATTAGACTCGTTGACCAAGACGGTAATTCTCTATTTATTATCACACTTCAGTCATCTCCACTATTTCTTACGCTTTTACAAATAGTGACTATAATTCCATGAATGTACACTACGCAAAGAAAAAAAAATGGGTCAGTTCTATATCTCCCGTTTTACTGGACCAATTGACGAAATTCAACTTGCGTTTTTCATATCTCGGAAGAGCGACTTAGGATATGTATAAGATTTATGTACAGCAATGTTCTAATATAAGTATTGTGACACAAAATAGAACTTTTTCCGAAATGACAGGACAATATTTTTCCATATTTTAATTCTACGCCTCAAGTTATGCTAAGCTGCCAAGTTTTGTAAAAATCGCACGAGTAGTTTTTAAGAAATTAGCTCTCAAAATTTCAGCTCCTCAATGTTAATTGAGTTGCCGCCCAGTCGGTATGGTGGTCAGGAAAGCTGACTGTGATGCCGACGCTCCTGGGTTCGAATCTCGAAGAAGGCATAGCTGTAATTGTCTGTTCCTTCATAGGAAAGGCGATGGTGGCCCACCTATTAGGTGCCTCCATAATAAAGACATCCCGCCTTGTATACATAGGGTGGGTTATATTGATTGTTTACAATCTGCTATTGGGGGGGACTGTTAATTGAGTTGGGTATATATATATTTATTAATATCTCATTTTTATTAAACTTATTTGATTCTTCCTTTCGAACCAAATAAAATCCTTTCATTCCAAATAAAATTCACGCATTTTTTCTAATTTGTTTTTTAAATTTGTATTTTTAAATAATTTTTATAAATTTTTCGAAAACAATTTTGAATTATAACCTATAAAAGTTTCGCCAACATCATAAAGTAGATATATTTCTAAGTATACGTGCAAAAAATTAGAGTTTTTTATTCCAAATTTCCTGAGATAAACGTGAACTTACATTTTGGCGCGTTTTGAAATTTGGCGTATTTATTATGAGCGATAATAACGAAAGTGTGGCTTAGGTACTCTGTTAAAATTATTTGAACGTATGAACGATGAATTGTTTTCCGCTCGTGGGCAATGGAAAAAAAGGAAAGGAAAATAGGTTGCTATGAATCAAGAAGTTCGCCGAGTGAATTTTTCTTGGCGCAAACTGAAAAAAAAAATCCGCCAAAGTAAGTTTTTTAATTTCTCACCAAAAATTACAAAATTTAATATCTAGGCATAATTTCAGTCGTAGAATCGAAATATGGAAAAAACTGGCATTTCAGAAAAAGTCCGTTTTTGTGTCAAAATACCTATGTAATGGCAACGCTATAAATCTAATATATATCTAATATATATAAGTCGCTTTTCGAGATTCGAATTTCGTCAATCGGTCCAGTAGAATGAGAGATATAGAAATCATACTTTTTTTTTTTTTTTTTTTTTTTTTTTTTTTTTTTTTGCTCAGTGTACATTTAAAACGTAACTTTGGAATTGCATACTAGTGGATACTATCGCTATCAAAACACTCCTTTTATATATTATATGCAGCTAAATTGACTTAAACGATAATGTTATGAAGTGTCAAGGCGCTGTGAGATGGCTTCCCTTCCCCGCAAAGCAGTTTTAGGGTTGCCATAAAATGGCAAGGAAAGGCAGGGTTACCACATTTGGCGACTAAATTGGCAATATGCCATGGACGGATGGAGAATCTTCTGGAAAGAATTCTTAGCGGTTTAGCCCAGAACGTGCTCGAACACAAGCCAAAAGCTATATAAACCCTGCTGGTTCGCAGTCAATTAGTGTCTCCGAGTGTGTGCCTCGTCTAGCGAGCCGGGCGGAGTCGATCGAGTTGACAGCCGTACAACGAGTGCCGAGTGGGTCGTCGAGTGCACCGAAGGACTCTTTTAGTGTATCGCAGTTAGTGCATCGTCGAGCGAGCGTGTTGAGCTCCGGAAACGACTGTACCGAAGAGTCGGGAGCCGTGCTCTGTGTGTCGTCGAGTGCATCGCGAGTTGAAGCGTGGAGAGTCTCGAGAGTACGTGGAGTTCCAAGAACAACCGAGCAGAGTCAGGAGCTGTAACTCTAGTGCTTTGCCAGTGAAGCTGTCTCCACAGTGATAGCCTGATAAATGTGGAAGGCTGTTGTCGCTGATCGTGTCAGCGTGTTTAGAGTAGTTCATTCGAACGACTGTAAAAACGTGTTTTCGAGCTGTCCTTGACAATACTGGCCAATAAAGTGTGTTATTTCGATACTTTCATCAAATGTCGTTGTTATTCACTCCAAATCCACACGAACCCCGTACGAACGTGAAAGAAGAAAATAACGTAACAACTGGTGTCAGAAAAGAAAAAAAAAACGCAACAATTCATTTTTAAAAGCATGTCTGAAGGTCTGAAGTTAATATTTTTTTTGGAATAATCTTGCGAACTAACGTCGCCTTCTGTTGGATATCAGTTATATCAGAAAATTATCCGTTCAGTACAACTTTTAACTTTGCACATAAGCCAAAAATCACAAGCTTTTTTCACACACAAGCTGCACAGGCCGGAAATCTTTCACAAGTACGTGAGAGGCACACATTTTGCTGAAATCTATCACATGTCCAAGTTGTAGGGAGCTGACAAGTTTTTATGCAGCAGGAAGCGTGAAATAATTTCTATGCCGTCGTTAGGATTCGAACAGTGGATCTTCCAGTTGTCTACTAATAACGAGACATAGGGCATACGAATGTTGCTTGCATTCTTTCCCCATTTACAGGGTATTAAGGAAAGGAACAAGGTCTCGTAGAAACATTAGGTTAATTAGAAAAGCCAGAGAGATGAAAAATATGCATCGCCTTCGCCGGGAATCGAACTACGGACCTCTGAAATATCGGCTCAGGGTGCTGACCAATACTCCACGAAGGCACGCTAGGAAGGCGGGAGAAATACCTTATATACCCCCCCTTTTAAAGGACGACTGGGGTTTTTAGGGGGCCCAATCGCCAAATTCTGGGTGAGGAGAGTCGTTCGTTCTTTCGTCGCCGACCAGGCTTCCGTCCTAATGTGAAACCAATCGAAATTAACCCTCTGACTGCTCAATTTGTAGACCGAAATCGCTTCCTTTTTTTTTTTCCATATTTTAAATCTATATATATTGGAGAATTGAAAAATGCACTTTTCTTTCTAGAAAATATTTTTATATAGATTTTTATCATGAGAAACTAAGTTGCCAGAAGAACCAATTTCAGATGTTATAACCAAAAAAAATCTTTTTTTTTAATAAATTTCAGTCGAATTACAGTTAATTTCTATTTATTGCATAATATCAAAAAGTAAAATGTATAAAATTTAAGAAAATATAAAGTGCTGAGGGAAAAATACCTTAGAAACGCAGTTCAGCACGACAGAGTTCAAAACAGGGTTGAAGGTAAAGTCCAACTTCACAGTCTTTGCACCAGATTCAATAAATCTAACTAATAATCAATCTAATTATTAATCTAATCAATAGATCTAATTAATAATTCAATAATTTAATTAAACAATTAAGATAATCGCTGAACGTTTTCTAGCAGCCATTTCTGTAAGAAAAAAGCGGCAAAAAGTGAAGTTTGAGCGCTAATACCACGTGTCTTCAAAATTTTTGCCCGTGGAAATTGCGGGATAGTCATCCTGATCAGCGGAGGCTGAACCTGATCAGCGAAGGTAAAATCTACTTGTACAACCAGCAGACACCATAACTAGGTGGACTACCAGATCAGCGACGCTTATTTTGTATCAGCCAAAGTAAATTGTTACAAAAATTAATGCCTTAAAATTAAAGAATATGTATCAATGACATCTTTGCACTTTGCGCGACGTATGTACAAATGATATATTACATAATTAAAATTTGCATATGGGAGCTAAGCAGTTACAACTGCTGCCTTCAACCATATTTATAAAAACAAATACAAGTTTGAAAGTTATTAGAAACCTCTTAAAATCAGTCTTGAATTCATATTTTGTTCCAAATCTTATTTTGTTCTTAGCTAGTTGGGAACGGCCATACAATTGAATCCCACTCAAAGCAATTAGATAGATCATAATTACATGAAAAATGCGGTCATTATTTAAATTCATTTTTCATAAATTCTCAGGTCTAAAAACCAAAACAAAAATAAACAATTAACAAATTATCAAATTTCGTTATTCATAATTAAGACACAATAACACGCCGAACAAATACTAATTCAGAAGTCAAACAACAATTTTGAAAATATAACGCTGATTTTTGTTGTTTGATAACGCTGATTTTTGCTGATTTTTAGTTTTCGTTATTCATAGTTATTACGAAAAACAAAGCAGTAAAATTTAATTCAAAGAACATTATCTATTTGTAATGATTCTGGTCTATCTAAATCAATTCTTATCTAGGCAATAATTTATCTTAATTATAGAATAAATGCCCTCCTAATTAACATATTCCGGTTTGAAATACAATTATTCTCAAACACTAAGAAAAGAAAAACAATCAAATAATATAGCAAGAACATTTAGTTTGCTATTTTAAGACATAGCCTTTAACTGAGAACGTAACTGTTTTTTAAAAACAAGGCAAGCATAAGAATTAGAAGTGTGACAAATGCTGTACTGTGTGTGCGTTTCTAAATTTGATATCATCCAACCCCCCTTTTTAGTTCGGGCGCCACTGTAGAGACATTAGGAATTTTAGAAGCAGGCAAGATTAAAAATTAGCAACCGCCTTCGCCAGGAATCAAACCACGGACCTCTGTCTCAGTGTGCTGACCACTACACCACGAAGGCACGCTAGGAAGGCAGGAGAAATACCTTATAGTCTGTTGGCCAAATCCTGATGAGAACGATTTATCGCCCATATATTTGTATTTCGGACGCTGTTACAGATAATTATAGGTTTCTGCGGAGCATAAAACGAGGAACATGTACTGCATCTTGTATGTAACCATTGTGTCCCAGATGATATTCGTAAACGTTAGTTACATAGTTGGCGTACTTAACTGCGAGAACATGCGCGAAGGAATGCAAAGACTCCTTAAAAATTCCGCAGCTAAAATTATTCAGTTTCT